ATCTTGTGAGACTTATTCACTACCATGAGAACAGTATGGAGGAAACCACCCCCATGACTCAATTATCTCCCACCGTTTCCCTCTCTCACAACATGTGGGGATTATGGGAATTACAATTCAAAATTTGGGTGGGTACACAGCCAAACCATATCAGAAGAGTCTCAACATTCAATCCAAAAAGAAATCAGCAGTCCTTCCCCTAGAATCTAGAATGCAGTGGAAGAGATTGCAGAGGCAACTGTATCATCTAATTTAGTCACATGTCTGGTCTCCAAATCTTCTTGCCTTTCTTAGTATAATTAGTGTTTTTTAGCAAACAATCCTGTAACTGAATTTCCTTCTGTGTGTTTAAATTTTACCCATCTTGACATTTGCAGCAGTTTCTCTCAAGGGGAGTCAGTAAGTTTACTGGAAATTTTAATAAGGTATGTTGTCTTGCAATAATAACAAATACTTATTTACTCAGAAGAATAATTAACAGAATACTAGTTTATGATTTTGTGCATGGTCCCTTCTCATTGCTAATAACAGTCTTCTTTTTATTGCTAATAATGCCCTTTGTATTACTAATAATGTTGAGAGGCAAAATCAGCTGGTGGAATGGGTTTGAGTTTAGGCACACTCAGGATTCAAATCCAGGTCTCCTTGTCCTTGGACATTTCTCTTTCCATCTCGGTGCCCCAGTTTAACTATCTGTACAATTAAGATACTTTTCTTGTAGGGTCATTTTAGGAAGTTAATGGGATACTTCTTTCTTCCTTACTTTAACTGTAATAGGAATTTCTCCAGATCTCCAAATTTTTCCTATCTGCACCATTGTGGAGATGGTTTCCCCTGCATCATTAGGCTAATTCATAGTTGGAGCCACTCTGTTAGGTGAAATTAACTGCTGTGTTTGTGTGCCATAAAGCCTTCCTTATCGCTAACTTCTGTGGTCAGCACGCAATGAAGGAGAGCCTTCATGATGAACAGCGAAGTTGTAGCAGGAGACCAACAGGAATATCAGACACACTCTGATTTCTAATTTCCATTTGTTACCTACACGTTCTAGAGGCCTGAATATTTAGAGCTTTTACACTGTGTTTTATTGTTGAATGATGCCATATTAAAATACCAGTGTATTGCCTGGTTAATAAACACTTATGGAGTTTATAAATCCACAGCCTCATCATGAACTGAATTTGTTAATCGTGATAAACACTGTTTGTCTACGTGTATTAATTGGTATATGGATTTGTTGACCATATCCTCTCCATGTTGGAGAGTTCTTTTAGTTGGTTTACTGACTGCTTTGACAGAAGTAAGCTATTAATTTCCTAAGAACCAGGAGCTTGTCCCACTTTTTAGTGAATGCAAAATCTTCTCCCTTGTCTGGCTTCAATTTTCCATTTCCTTTTTTATACTTGGTTACACTTCATTTTGTGTCAGGGAAAAGTATCGCTGAATCTGTTCAAATGTCACTGACATACATAGAGACAGTGAACATCTCCCAGTCCAAAGGCCTGAGAACCAGGAAGCCTGATGATGCCTTATGGACTCTAGGAGAACTTGGGTTTGCTACTGAATTACAGTGCTGGGTTCCAGGCATCACCTCACACAGTCAACAGGCAGGAGTCCCCACACCACCTGCTGCTGCCATCACAGTTAAATGGTGTGCCCTTGCTGTGCCTTACAAAGGAATAAATCTTGTTGTTGTTGTTCAGGTCAATGAGATTTCATCCTATCAATTGGTTTTTATTTTACTTTATTTACTTTATATGTTTTTTAAGACTAGTCAAGTGTAGTGGTGAGAAGAAGGGAAAGAATAGAACAAGGAGTTAAATCTGCAACTGACTATGAACAATCAATTGCCTTAACTCACTACTTTGGACCCCAGCCTTTTTTTTTTTTTTTTCTAAGACTAGTCAAGAGCAATAGCAAGAAGAGGGGAAAGAGTAGAATAAAACATTTTTAATCACTGATGTTTTATTTGTGACTCTTCCAAGCTCTTCCAATTATTACAGGCGGTGAAGGCCTAAAAACTGCATTTCTCAAACTCACTCTTATTGGCAGAGTTCCAGCCTAGATTCCTCCCTGGGAGATGCTGGGTGATACTTGAAGGTAAGAGAAAAACCAGAAGCTGTTTTGCTCTGGCAGCATGGACAGCCTTGCATGGGAACCTCAGCATATGACAGACATGGGGCTTGGCCAGCAGCTTCTAGCCAGCAGCTGTGGAGCACCCACTTCCTGTGGAGCACCCACTTTCTGTGAATTACCACAGGATCCTGTGATTCCTTTATTTTCTGATTACCTAAATGTCAGCTGATTCCGTAGTTTACATTCCTCCCAGTCTTTCCAATGGGTAATGAGCTTCTAATCCCTGTACTAACCCTCTTGCTACTTCAAATACCTAGAGTAGGGTATTGGTCAAGGTTCTTCAGAGAAACAGAAGCAATAGATTGTGAAGATTAATTGGTTCATGCAATCGTGGAGGCTGGTTAGTCCCAAGCTCTGCAGGGTGCATTGGTAAACCAGAGACCAGGAGAGCCAATGGTGTGGCACCAGTACAAGTCCAAGGGCCCAAGGATCAGGAGAGCCAATGATGCAGTTCCAGTCTGAAGGCCAGTGTGCTTGAGGCCCAGGAAGAGGTGATGTTTCAGCTTGAGTCCAAAGACAGGAAAAAGCTGATGTTCCAGTTTCAAGGCAGAAAAAAATTCTCTTACTTGGGGAAGAGTCAGCCCTTTTGTTCTACTCAGGCCTTCAACTGATTTGATGAGGTCTACTCATCTTAGGGAGGGTAATCACTTTATTCAATCTACCAATTTAAATGTTAGTCTCATCCAAAAAAACACCCACAGAGAAACACCTAGAATAATGTGGATTTTTTTTTTTTTACAATTTTAATTAATTTTAGAGGTACAGTCTCACTATGTTGCTCAGGGTGGAGTAGAGAGGCCATTCACAGGCACTACCATTGCACATCATAGCGCACTACAGCCTCAAACTCCTGGGCTTAAGTGATTCTCCTGCCTCGGCTTCCCAGGTAGCTGGGACTGCTTTTGTATGCCACTGCACCTGCCCCAGAATAATGTTTGATGGAATATTTGAGCACCTGGTGGCCTAGTCAAGTTGACATATAAAATTAACCAATACAAGTAGCTTCTGTTTTGGGCCACCCATGTTTGTTACATCCCTCATGTGTCATACACATAAATGTTTATCTTACCTAGAATCATTTTTTTCCCTCTTTACCCCAGGGTAATCAAATTTTATTCCTGAGAAATTTTTACAATTGGCCTTATGTAAGGAAGTGCAAGTGGGCAGGAAATAGTAAGCAGTAGTGAAAAGTGCACCTTGTCTTTCTAAAGGACCATACAACTCATTAAAAACCATTATTCATACTTCTCTCTCCTTTTCTTCACTGTTGTTTTTAACTCAGTAAGAGGTGAGTATCTGTGCAGTGATACACATGACAGACCTTACAACCCAAGGAAACAGCTGCCATACCAGTGGTCAGCTAAAGGCTGGGTCTATGGGGTTGTAGAGGCATGTTTTAAGCACCCTTTTTGTTAAGGTTTGACTGTGTCCCCACCCAAATCTCATCTTGAATTGCAGCTCCCATAATTCCCATGAGTTTTGGGAGGGACCTGGTGGGAGATAATTGAATCATGGGTGGTTTCCCCCATACTGTTCTCATGATAGTGAGTAAGTCTCATAAGATCTTATGGTTTTATAAGGGAAAACCCCTTTTGCTTGAATCTTATTCTTTCTTGTCTGCCATGTAAGATGTGCCTTTACCTTCTGCCATGACTGTGAGATCTCCCTGCCATGTGAGTCCATTAAACCTCTTTATCTTTATAAATTACCTAGTCTTGGGTGTTGAGAAATATTAAGTTTACCCTGCCCCTATGGCTCCCTCATGGAAAATACATTTTAGTTTGTCAGTAATCAGTGGTGAGCAGGTAACAGCTGCCTACTTGGTATATTTTTGAGTTATGGGAAAGAACAGAACACCTGTTTGTTAATAACAGTCACCTGTTCAGAGAAAAAAAAATACATGGATCAGAGTCTGCTAGGGGCCTTCAGCCTGGAAAGCTGTCAGCCCTGAGACTCTTAGCTTGACAGGCTGCTAGCCCCCCAGATAGACTCACTGTGCTGTTTTATCTGGGTGTTTGCCTCTCATTTCTTTCAGCACTCCCTGGGTGGGGGTATCCTGGCTGAGCTGGTACTCAGCACTCGGGTATGTCTTTATTAGCAGCGTGAGAATAGACTAATACATATTTCCTCTTTTATTCGCTTTTTCAGGATCATCTATTTTGGAGAAGTCAAAGGTAAAGCATATATATTCCCTGTATATCAATCACAAAGTGACACACTTAGGGGCACATTCTTTTACACTTTTTTAAATCTTAAAATATGTCTTGAAAATAGTAATTGCCACCATATATCCCAGGACATTTCCAAAGAGCTCCAGTGGCCAGAGCCCCCTGGTCAATCTTTTGATGGTCTCTAGAATCAAGGAGTCTGCCACTGAATTCCTAACCCCAGAATGGGGGATAATTCTCACACAGAAGGAAGTGTCTGAATTTCAGACAAGACTTTGCCTATCATACATCAGACACAGTCTTCTAGGGAATTATTGTAGTCTACCGTACTGTATAAATTTATTCCTAAGAATTCGAGGAGGCATGAATGCTGGTCCCATTCCAGTGTAGTCATTGTCACATTAACTTCTTAAAATTACAGTGGTTGCATATTATGTATGTAGGTAACACTCCAACAACACAGGGGTAAGGGATAATGACACCCACATAGGAAAAAAATCCACATATAACATTTAACTGCATTAAACTTAACTACTAACAGCCTACTGTTGACTGGAAGCCTTCTAAATAACATAAGAGATGCTTCACACCTATTTTTTATGTTACATGTATTATATACAGTATTCTTATAATAATGTAAGCTAGAGAAAAGAAACTATGAAGATAATGATAAGAAAGAGAAAATACATTGATTAGTCATTAAGTGAAAGTGGTTCATTATAAAGGTCTCCATCCTTGTTGTCTTCACATTGAGTAGGCTAAGGAGAAAGAAAAAGAAAAGCAGTAGGTGTTGCTGTCTTGAAGGGGCAGAGGCAGAAGAAAATCCACATACAAGTGGATCCATTCAGTTCAAACCTGTTTGTTCAAGGATCAATTATACACACACTCAGAAACACACACACACACACACACACACACACACGGATAGGGAAGGGTTAGACAAGATGATCTCTAGGGTTTCCTCAAGCTTTAATTAATGCCTGACTTTACTATATTAAAGTTGGAAGTTATTTGGACTACTGAATCCCTAGCATCAACCAGTGAACATGCCTTGGTCAAAAAACTAATTTGTTCTGCCCTAGAGTCTTGTTGTCAGACCCTGATGGAGTCATCTTGTTATTGTGCCTTCCCCTAATCTCTGGGATAGCTTCTTCCCTTTACATCACTCCCTGACTTTGACTCACACCATTTTCTGTTTCTGTTTTTCTCTGTGCAATGCATTTTGTCTTCTGTCTGTCGTATCCTTCCCTGAGCTCACTGGTCAGGGCTTTGCCAGCCGCCAATGGGTCTTCAGATCCTACTTCCTCAATTACAGTTTATTTGGTCTCCCACTTATAATTAATGTCTACCTCCTTTATCTCCCACATCACACCATCTTAGATCAGTTTGGCTGTTATAGTCGTTACCATATCTACCCATATACTCCCACAGATTATTCATGGATGACAGGATCTATGTTGATTTCTCTTTTCAACTTTCTACCCTTAAAGCAGTGCTTTTTATTTAGCTGGTGCTGAACAATTCAGCATTGAATTGAATCCTGTTTTCCTTTTTTCCCCCCTTTATCTTCTCTAAGAGGGATTCAGGATTCCATGGCATGGTTTTCGTAGATCCTGGGATTAAAATGGCCTTTAAACAAGACTATGAGAATGTCTTAACAGACCAGAGCAGGTTTGTTAAATGTGCAGAGACAGCCTCACATCCTGAAGGATGTTGGAAACCAACTGGGGAGGAGAATAGACCAGACCATCCAACTAGACATCCCTTCAAAACAGACCCCTTTGATCCTGCCTTCCTCACTTCATGCAAAAAGTTACTCACCAGTCCGGCCCATAATGTTGGCCTTCCCAATAATTTTACAGATGATTATTAGATAAGGGAGTTAAATGGGACTTTTCACCAATAGCTGCTTAAAGAAGAAAAGTTGTTCTTTTTGTCCTAAGGTACATGATATTTTTAAAAACATTTAGGCTACTTATGAGTTGATAGTAGTTAATAATGGATTAAAGTTATATGTTATAGCAAGTAACTTAGCCTTTTCAAATCTCAGTTTTCTCATCTGTCAAATAGTCTAATAGTAACTTTTCTTAACTTTTTAGTTGCTGTGATTATTAGAGATAATATTTATAAAATGCCAGCATAGACTAGTACCTGGGTCACAGTAGGCACTTAGTAAACAGTGGCCATTGACAGGCTGTATGAGGATGAGATTAAAATATCAACACATTTTGTTCCAGCCAATAGTTCTAACATTCTTCTAATTAGTAAGCTGAGTTATGAAATATGGCTCCAATAACACTTTTCTAAGTATTAATTTACAGAAAATATTGTTATTCAACACTAGCATAATCACTAAATTACATATATTGGCTTTTTTAAAAGGAAGATAAAATCAGTTATGATCTTAAGAACTAGAGTAGGTTTTTATGTACTAATTAAATATTTTAAAGAAATTTTTTTTAGAAATGAGTCTGTCTACCTTGCTCAGGTTGGACTCAAGCTTCTGGACTCCAGCAATCCTACTGCCTTAGCTTCTCGATTAGCTGGAACTATAGGAGTGCACCATCTACCTGGCTTAAGTGGAATATTTTGTAACAAAATAATTATGTGCTTGGCTTATATAACACTTCCCATTAAAACAGATTCTGATCTTTTTTTTTTTCCTCAAACAATTCAGGTCTGAATATGTTAATCCCAAGATTTTTTTAAAAAGCTTTATCGTGCCAACTTTAATTAGATAATAAAGATTATACAAGCAAAATCATTTACCTCAGGTATATTGTTTGGCAAAACTTGTGTTGCTCCAGAAAGGCTAGCTCCTCCTCTAAAAACTATCATAAGGAGAAAAACACATCTAATGTCAGGAGCAGAGCTCACATGGCAGCTGGTCAACTAATGGATCCTGTAATTGGCAAAGAGATGGGCTTCTGCAGATAAAGGAAGCAGCGTAATCATGTTGCCAAAAATACACATGAGTGTTTGGCTCTTAAGGTAACAAATGGGCTGACACAGGACCGTATGTATGAAGCTAAAAATACATTGCAAAATAACTGCAATGAGGTGTCTTGAGACACAGTTGTAATAATAAACGACTGTATATTGGCTGTCAGACCCCTATTTGACAAAATTAAAATATCTTGTACTACTTTTCTACTTACTGGGAACATCGTAAAAAAAGAACACAACATTGTCAATGTGGCAGTGAAAGAAAACGCTCATGGAAATGTAAGACCTGATAATCAGATAATGCAAATGATACTGTATACATAGCAACCATGTCTATCCTCAGAATAGCTCACTGTAACAGGGACTATTTGTTTTAAGACAGTAAGATCCAATTCACCTGACTGTGTTATGTGACTTAGGATCACTAGATACTCGATTTTGAAGCACAATATGTTAGGAGCCGTATTACCTGGGGCAAGAATCCACATCATTATTCTGAGACTTAGCTGTCTCATCTACAAAATGGGGTTAATAAAACCACTGAATACTGTGGAAATAGAATAATATAACAAAACAGAATGTCTGGCAGAAACAAAGCTTGTCTTTTTTCTCTCGAATGTAAATTGAGTTAAACATAAAGAATTCATCCAAAAATTTGCTGAATGATAAAAGCATTCTATTTTCTTTATTCCTAAATGAAATGGTTAATTATTGAGGGATAAGAGAAATCTTTTTATAACCAATCAGATGCCTTGGACTTTGTAACCTTGGTGATATTCTAAAGTGCTGTTGAGATTGCCGCTGCTGCTGCTCTACTGAATCATCAAGTGTTTCGGTGAAGCTGGGGTATACAGGATCCTACAGCAACAGAAGTGTTTTTGAGGGTAGAGGACATGATGGGGCCCCTCCTGAGCAAAAAATCCTCCACTCGTGTTTCCTAATCAAACCTTAGTTTCTTAGCCATGTGATACTGGTGGCTCTTGACTGGCCTCCAATAGCTGCATAATTCTATGTCTGTTGCTACGGAGATCAGTGCACTATATAACCCTGGTCCAACCAATCAACATGAGGCATTTTCCCAACTTCAGTCATTCATTTTGGAATGGGTATGTGATCCCAGTTGGTCCAATCAGAGTGAAGCTTAATCCTTCTGTTTGGCGGTCAGGGTATGAAAATAGCTTTCTGTCCTGTGTATGAATAAGAAAGTACATATCATCAATACAGAAAAGCCAGTTTCACAAACTTACAACATATAGAAAACTTATTTTAAACATACATATGTGTGTGCATATGCAAATGCAGTCAAAAATATTTTCTCCTAGCTACCTAGAAGAAAAAAATCTAACAAAATGTGTGCAAGACCTTTAATGAGAAATGGGAAAACTTAATTGTAAGATATTAAAGAAGATGTAAATGAAGAATTATGTCATATGGATAAATATGAAAACTTGGTGTTAAAACATGTCACTTTTAACTTGTTCTATACTATCAATTCATTTGCTATGAAAATTCTAATAAGTTTTTTTAAGGGACTTGATAGGTTGTATACTCCAAAAGTAGACATTGAGATGGAGTTTGAGGTGCTCGATGTTTACTAGTAGTCAGTTTTCACATTGCTATAAAGAAATACCCGAGACTGGGTAATTTATAAAGAAAAGAGATTTAACTGGCTCATGGTTCTGCAGGTTGTACAGGAAGCCTGATGCTGGCATCTGCTTGGCTTCTGAGGAGGTGTCAGAAAACTTAACACAATCATGGCAGAAATGGGGGCAGGCACGTCTTACATGGCAGGAGTAGGAGCAAGAGAGAGTGCAGGAGGAGGTGCCACACACTTTTAACCAGATCTCAAGAGAACTCACTCACTATCATGACACAGTACTAAGGGGAAAATCCACCCCCATGATCCAATCTCCTCTCACCAGGCCCCACCTACAACACTGGGGATTACAATTTGACATGAGATTTGAGTGGGGACACAGATCCAAACCATATCAACTAGGAAGGTGTGAAAGGAACAGGGTGGAAGCAGAATTGGACAGAGGAAGATGTTAAACTATGATGCAGCCTGGACAAGTTTCAACCGACTCTGTGGGGAGCTCTGAGACAAGTACTGCCCTTTAGAGCATTCTACTTCAGGCCAAAATGTCCCATACCCCACTGAACCACCAGACACAGACTGCCCCTGGAAAGGCTGAGTCTCAGTGGAGGTGGTTCTCTGAAGCTGAGGCTGATCTTAAAGAAAGTGACATTTGGGGGCTGTCTCTGACTGCACCCCTTTCAGGCTGCCAGCAAATTCTTCCTTGAAGGAGGTCTATGCAAGGCAAATCTGTGTCTATCACATAAGCTGATCCTAAAACTGGTGGGAAAAAAGCCAGAAGGAAGAAGAGAGGAGGAATGATGGGGAGGGGAAGGAATAAAGGGATTTGTTCTACCAGAATTAAAGCTTATTTTAATTTACCTACATATATGTCATCATCTGTGTTTTTCATTCCTTTGTGAAGATTCAACTTTCCTCCTTGTAGAATTTCCCTTAAGCCTGAAAAACTTACAATGTAGGCCTATTGAGATAAATTGTCTCAGCTTTCATTTACCTGAAAAGGCCTTTATTTTCCTTTCATTTTACAATGTATTTTAGATGGATATAAAATTTTGAGTTGACAGAGATTTTTCCTTTTAATATTTTTTAAGATGTCATCTTCTTATGTTTAGGCCTCCATTTTTTTTCTGCTAAGAAGCCTGTGGTTATTCTTACGTTTATTTCCCTGGTTGTAAAACCTTTTTGCTTTGGCTGCTTTTAAGACTCAGTAATTTGGCTAACATGTATCTAGGTGTGGTTTTCTTTGGACTTTCCCTGCTTGGGTTTTCTGAGCTTTCATCAAATTGGCAAAAGTTCTAGTCATTTATTCTCCAAATATTTTCTGTCCCAAAATTTGAATCCTCTCACTCTGGGACTT